GTTAGCCACCTCTACCAAGCAGTTTGCCGCCTCTAACTAGCAGTTATACAGCCTCTACCCAGGTGCTGTGTAGCCATTAACTAGCAGTTATACAGCCTCTACCCAGGTGCTGTGTAGCCATTAACTAGCAGTTACTGCCAGCCGCTTGTTACTGCTCACGGTGACACAAGACATGACGTCATCACCCGCAGGGGTATAAAAAGAAGCCCAGCAACCCATGGAAGGCACCATAGCCCGTGCTACTTGGAACTTTGTTCCAGGTAGCGAATCTTTAACAACAACAACAACAACAACCATGGAAGTCAGAGGTCACGACCTCTCAGTAGGGTGCAGTCGCACCTCCACAGATCAGTATCCAGTATCAGCTAATGATACTGGAAATGGCTCCAAAGGGCCACCACTTACGGGCTATTCATGCCCGTGCCACCTCTTGGGTGGCTTAATCTTTATCAATCAATCAACCATGGCAGTCAGTTTCTCTCTGGTGCTCTTGGAGTCATCATAGCTTCTTTCACCCGCCGTCTGCTACCAGCCTACGTCGTGTGTCGGATGCTGTGGTGGTGTGGTGGATGTCTTCATCTCACTGGTGTATTATTGTATTGTATTCTTATTAAGGATTTCATTGACTTATTGTCACCACACACTTGGTCCGGGAGACATCTCCCGTCACACAGGGTGCAGTTGCACCTCCACAGATCTCCAGTATCAGCTCTTGATACTGGTAATGGCTCAAAAGGGCCACCACTTACGGGCTATTCATGCCCGTGCCACCTTTTCGATGGTTTAATCGTCATCTTGGACACATTCATGGGAGACATCTCCCGTCACGCAGAGTGCACTTGCACCTCCACAGATCTCCAGTATCAGCTCTTGATACTGGTGATGGCTCGAAAGGGCCACCACTCACGGGCTATTCATGCCCGTGCCACCTTTTGGGTGGCTTAATCTTCATCATCATCATCGACTTATTGTGTTTGTTCTGTTATACTAGCCAAGAGTTTGCAGGAACCATTTATTATCATTATAGTAAAGTTTATTATTTGTTCATCTGTTTCTTGTTTCACCCCGCCACTTACTCACTGCAAAGGTCACATCAGCATTGTTTTTTATGTGAGTGAGCCAGCCTGGCCCAGTATTGCTGCACTACTCCGTCACGTCACGGAGAATGGGTGTCTGTCCTAGGAGCTGGTCTCGGGAGCTGTTCCTAGCAACCTTTACTTAATGGTTTGTTTAGTTGTTATTCTTGGCTTTTATACTTTGCATTTTTCAGAATTCATTTTGAGATTTACGTACTGGTGACTGAACACATCTACTTTACAGGTGTAGCAATTGGTGATCTGTTTATGAGGTTGACTTTGACTACGTGATGTTTTATGCGCAATTTCAGGCTCGTAATTGTTAGTCTTCTAAGCTATTGCTATATCTTAATTACCTACATTAATTCTGTCACAACAGAGGTGACTCATTCAGACTGATCACCCTCTTGGGCACTTATCTGGTACTTTGATTTGTCTGCGAACTATTATGTTCCACTTTGTATTAAGAACTTGGGAAAACTAAAGATCCTTTCGCATCCAGAACTGTTATACATTCGGGACGTGTATAGCCGTTCTCGTCACAGTGGTGACACTCCCTGCTCCCCTAAGCCTTCGTTCAAAGTTCTTGACTAACTGCTCAGGTGGGGAGTTTACTATTCTTTTACAGAGCACAAGGAACGGTAACTCTGCTGTTAATTATCTAGATTCTAGTAGGACAACTCTTGCCCTTATCCTCACTAGAGTACAGGGTACAGACATCCCTTCACCCTCCTCATATTTTACTCCCCTGAAACATTCATTTATATTGTTTCTCCAAGTCTTTATTAAAGTCAAAGACTTAGTTTTATTTCAGGTTATCATATATAGTACAGTAATTTATCTTGTAAAATTATTGTTGCCTTAGCGGATAGTTACTTACGTACAGTGTTGCCGGGTATATAACAACCATTCTCGTGCATATTGCCACATCACCTACAAGACAGTCTATTAATCGACACTTATTTGCTCGCCTAAAGGGTACTCGCATTTTCTTCCATTATATGCAGGCGATGAGTCACAATAACGTGGCTGAAGTATGATGACCAGACCACACACTAGAAATTGAAGAGACGACAATCGTCTCTTCACGACGGTCGTCTCTTCAATTTCTAGTGTGTGGTCTGGTCATCATTCTTCCATTATAGTTTGTCTTTATACAATCTTAAATATGTTTCGATTAGCCACATTTCATACCAACCCGGAGGATGAGCTTCATACTGTAACTCGTGCTAATAGAGCCGAATTAATAACATTAACTACAGAGTATCATCTCTCTTCTCCACATGGGGCCACCAAAGCTGAGCTTCATAACCTGATTCTAGACCATCTCGCTGACAATGATCTTATTACCCCGGAGCAGCAGGACCAACATGGAGTTGCTGATAAACCCACACTCACACACATGAAATTGAAGATCGAGTTGGCCCAACTAGACGCTGATGCCCACGAACACAAACGGGAAATGAGAAGACAAGACGCTGCATTAGTCCGTGAACGTAAACAACGCCAGCTCTACGAGCAAATAGCTGAATTTGAACGTGCACGTGAAAAATAGCGACTCCAGATCCAAGTACAAGAAGCTGAACTACAACATCAACGCCAGCACCAAGAAGCTGAACTACAACATCAACGCCAGCACCAAGAAGCTGAACTACAACATCAACGCCAGCACCAAGAAGCTGAACTACAACATCAACGCCAGCACCAAGAAGCTGAACTACAACATCAACGCCAGCACCAAGAAGCTGAACTTCAACGTCAACGCCAGCACCAAGAAGCTGAACTGCAACATCAACGCCAGCACCAAGAAGCTGAACAACAACGTCAACGCCAGCACCAAGAAGCTGAACTACAACGTCAACGCCAGCACCAAGAAGCTGAACTACAACGTCAACGCCAGCACCAAGAAGCTGAACTACAACGTCAACGCCAAGAACAAGAAGCTGACTTGCAACGTCGACGAGAAGTAGAAGGACTGATTGATACCTGGTTGATGGGGTTCTGGGAGTTCTTCTACTCCCCAAGCCCGGCCCGAAGCCAGGCTTGACTTGTGAGAGTTTGGTCCACTAGGCTGTTGCTTGGAGCGGCCCGCAGGCCCACATACCCACCACAGCCCGGTTGGTCCGGCACTCCTTGGAGGAAACAATCTAGTTTCCTCTTGAAAATGTCCACGGTTGTTCCAGCAATATTTCTAATGCTCGCTGGGAGGATGTTGAACAACCGTGGACCTCTGATGTTTATACAGTGTTCTCTGATTGTGCCCATGGCACCTCTGCTCTTCACTGGTTCTATTCTGCAGTTTCTTCCATGTCGATCACTCAAGAACGTTGTTATTTTACTGTGTAGATTTGGTACTTGACCCTCCAGTATCTTCCACTTGTATATTATTTCATATCTCTCTCGTCTTCTTTCTAATGATTACATTTAGAGGACTTTGAGACGATCCCAATAATTAAGGTACTTTATTGCGTCTATGTTCTCTGTATTCCCTCTATTTCAGCAATCTCTCCTGCTCTGAAGAGGGAAGTGAGTACTGAGCAGTACTCGAAACGGGACAAAACAAGTGACTTGAAAAGTACAACCATTGTGATAGATCTCTGGCTTTGAAAGTTCTCGTAAGCCATCCTATCATTTTTCTGGCTGTCGCAATATTTGCTTGGTTATGCTCCTTAAACGTTAGGTCATCAGACATTATTATTCCCAAATGCTTTACATGCTGTTTTCCTACTATGGGCACATTTGATTGTGTTTTGTACCCTGTATTGTGCATAAGGTCCTCATTTTTACCGTACCTGAGAACCTGGAATTTATCACTGTTAAACATTATGTTATTTTCTGTTGCCCAGTCGAAAATTTTATTAATATCTGCTTGAAGTTTTTCAATGTCTTCAGCCGAGGTAATTTTCATACTGATTGTATTAAAGGATTGTATGTATGTAGTCGATTTTCATACGACTACAGAGCCTAGTTCAAGAGCTTCAACTCAAGAGATAACAAGAAGATGATGAAGTTGCTATCACACTTCGTTTAGAACAAGGAAAATCAGACTAGAGCAGCGGTGTCAGGAGTTGGAACTTGAAAGTACCCACATATCTCAGTGTCAGGTAACAGGAGCTAACTTACCAGTACGTTTTAGCCCCACGCAGCCTCCACTGGTCTGAGGCTGCCTCCACTGGTCTGAGGCAGCCTCCACTGGTCCGAGGCAGCCTCTACTGGTCTGACGCAGCCTCCACTGCTCTAATGTTGCCTCCACTGGTCTGAGGCAGCCTCCACTGGTCTGAGGCAGCCTCCACTGGTCTGAGGCAGCCTCCACTGGTCTGAGGCAGCCTCCACTGGTCTGAGGCAGCCTCCACTGGTCTGAGGCAGCCTCCACTGGTCTGAGGCAGCCTCCACTGATCACATCAGTGAGGCAGCTTCACTGGTCTGGTAGGTTCAAAATGATGCTGCCTTTTGTAGAGACTGGGGGTGGATTCATTTTTTGTGTCTTTTGAGGCCTTGGCCACGAAAGACAGTTAGCCCCCTTCTCCCCACCTTCCCCTCTCTCATCCCCATATTCCTACCCTCCTCCTCCCTCTTACTTCCAACTTCAAACAGCTAATTTCCATTTCCATGCAAAGTAAATGATGATAGTGTATTGGTAAATTGCGCGAGTAACTGCAACACTCTATGCCCAACGCCCGCCCGGTTTCATCCCATAAACAGTTCAGACTTCATGAAAATCGCTTTGATATACTGGATTATAGGCTATAGTTGTTAAAGCATTCAACTTAGGCCTACCCTAACCAACCTATGTCCCTCCCGCACCCCACACCAGTTTCCTACAAAATTGGGTGAGTCTACCCCCAAGTATCTGGCCTCCAACTTTGTACAGACAAAAATAAGACATTCTCTTAAAGTATTGATAACACTGACCATTGTCAACAGGAGCTCGTGGAGATGGCCGCGAAGAATGTTTGTCGCGGGAGCTCGGTGATGGAGGCGGCCAGAGACATCGCCGGCCAGCCTGTGAGTTCTTTCTTGTACTGAATATTTGTTTTCCGTTAACAAGTCCGTTCCAACTTTCCACTTCACTCAAACTAAACAACTGTTCTAAACATGCACTCAACACTTAAACACTTCCTCGTCTAGCTCTGGCAGCTGTTGAGGCTCAGTAGTGAACACTCCATGGAAGCTGACATTGAGCTCCTCACAACTATATATTTCCCCTCAAATTTAATTAATTAAAATCCATTCCAATCATTTAAAACACTCAGATTGAACAATTACTAGCCGACGGATTCAAACCTTCCACTGCGCAAGTACTTCCATAATACTCTGTGACTCATTTTTAGTTACAGCCACAGAAATGGCTGTAATTAAGTTACTTCACTTGGGAACAATTCGCAACTTACTGGGTACAATTGCTTAACACTTCTAGATCACTTAAGAACATAAGAATAAAGGTAACTGTAGGAGGCCAGTTGGTCCATACGAGGCAGCTCCTATTTATAACCACCCAATCCCACTCATATACATGTCCAACCCACGCTTGAAACAATCAAGGAACCCCACCTCCACCATGTTATGTGGTAATTGGATCCACAAATCAACAACCCTATTACCGAACCAGTATTAACCTAGATCTTTTCTAAATCTAAATGTATCCAGTTTATTCCCATTGTTTCGTGTTCTGTCATGTATTGATACTTTTAATACCCTATTAATATCCCCTTGTTGACCAGACCACACACTAGAAGTTGAAGGGACAACGACGTTTCGGTCCGTCCTGGACCATTCTCAAGTCGATTGTCTTGACAATCTAGTGTGTGGTCTGGTCAACATACTTCAGCCACGTTATTGTGACTCATCGCCTGAATATCCCCTTGTTAGGCCCACTCATCCACTTGTACACCTCTATAATGTCACCCCGAATTCTTCGCCTTTTTAGAGAATGTAATTTAAGCTTTGTCAATCTTTCTTAGAACATAAGAATATAAGATCAGAGGTAACTGCAGAAGGCCTATTGGCCCATACGAGGCAGCTCCTATTTATAACCACCCAATCCTATCATATACATGTCCAACCCACGCTTGAAACAATCAAGGGACGCCGCCTCCACCACGTTATGCGTAATTGGTTCCATAAATCAATTTCTCTCATATAATTTCTTTATATGATCATATGACAGGTTTCTTATTTAGGGGATTAACTTAGTCATCCTACGCTGGACACGTTCAAGTGAATTCATATCCATTCCATACTACGGCGACCAAAACTGAACTGCATAATCTAAACGAGGCCTAACCAGAGCAAGATATAGCTGAAGAACCACACCAGGTGTCTAATTAGTAACGCTTCGATTAATAAATCCCAGTGTCCTATTTGCCTTATTACGAAATTTTATGCATTGATTTTTTGGTTTTAAATTCTTAATAATCATAACTCCCAGATCCCTTTCGCAATCTGACTTCGCAATCTCAACACCATGTAGCTCGTATCTTGTAACTCTATCATCATTACCTAGCCCCAAAACATTACATTTGTCAGCATTAAACTGCTTCTGCCAATCTTTTGACCATTTCAAAACCCTATTTAGATCGTCTTGAAGTGATAGTGAGCATTTTTCCGTGTTTATTTCCCTCCCGATTATTGTATCATCGGCAAATTTGCAAATATTACTGTTCAAACCTGAATCTAAATCATTAATATATATTATAAATAACAGGTCCCTATATACAGCCTTGAGGCACTGCATTTACAACATTTTCTCACACTGACTTAACCCCATTTATACTAACTCTTTGCTTCCTTTGGTATAGCCATGCCCTAATCCAGCTTAATATAGCACCCCCAATACCACGAGCCTCTATCATTTTAATCAGCCTTTCATGTGGCACTGTATCAAAAGCTTTGCTAAAGTCAAGGTACACAACATCACAAACCTTACCACTATCAACTGCCTCAACTATGCTGGAATGAAATGATAGCAAATCTGTTGAACATGAACGGCCATTTGTAAAACCATGTTGCGACTCGTTTATTAATTTATGTTTTTTTCAAGATGAAGACGAATGGTATTTGCAATTATCGATTCAAGTAACTTTCCTACAATAGATGTTAGGCTAATTGGCTGATAGTTTAATGCAAGTGATCTATCTCCTTTCTTAAAAATTGGTACCACATTAGCAACCTTCTATGACTCTGGCACTCTGCCTGACTGTATTGATTTATTAAATATGGTAGAGTGGCTCGCAAAGCTCCTCTTTGCATTTCTTAAGCACCCTGGCAAACACTTTGTCTGGGGATTTGTTTGATTTGAGTTTCACTATTTGTTTAATGTAACGTCATCCCTGGAAACTGCTAAACAAGTCAACCTGTCCTCTTCTCCACCCACATAGACCTGTTTGACTGAAGGAATATTGTTAAGTTCTTCTTTAATGAATACAAAGATCAAATATTATTAAAAATTCTACTCGTCTCTTTGTCATTATCAGTTATCTGACCTGTCTCAGTTTTTAATGGACCTATCCTTTCCCTAATCTTTGTTCAATATAACTGAAAAAATCCTTTAGGATTTGCCTTTGCTTGCCCTGCTATGCGAACGTCATAGTTTATTTTTGCCCTCCTTATCTCTTTTTTGTTTTTTATCTCCTCTCCAGTTGGACGAATCCTTGTTTTAAATTGACTTCCCCACTCTTAATCCTTTTGTACCAAGCTCTGTTTCTAGCTATAAGGTTCTTCAGATCCTTTGTTATCCATTTCGGGTCATTAGTATTCAATCTATTCACTTTGTATGGTATACTACATTTCTGAGCTTTGCTTAGAATATTTTTAAATAAGTTATATTTTGGGTCAACATCGAAATCCCTTTTTACATCACCCATCGCTGGGTTCACGTCTCGCTCCAAGACCGGCCCACCCTCCAAGCCCAGGACTTTCCAATCTGTTTCAATCAAAAAATGTTTTAGGCCATTAAAATCAGCTTTTCGAAAATCTGACACTCTAACAGAATGTTCTCCTACAAATCTATTCCATTTTATGCTAAATCTGATTTCTTTGTGATCACTGTTCCCTAGCTCACTCTCTATTTCGATGTCATTAATTTGTGCTTCTCTGTTTGTTAACACTAAGTCTAAAATATTATTTTCATGTGTTGGTTCCTTAATCTGTTGCTTAAGAAAGCAATCGTCAATTAATTCTAGAAAATCTTCTGCTTCATTATTCCCTGTTCTGTTAAGCCAGTTTATTCCACTAAAATTAAAGTCACCCATGACACAAATACTGTTTGACCTAGATGCTCTAGATATTTCATCCCATAGATGCTTTGCTTCCATTCTGTCTAAGTTTGGTGGCCTGTATATAACTCCTATTATAAGATTTTTAGCTTTTTCGTTTAATTCTAACCAAATAGTTTCTGTGTGGCTCAGTTTTGATTCCCTCTTTGAGACTACATTTCAAATTTTCCCTAACATATATGGCTACTCCCCCTCCTCGTCTAATATATCTATCTGTGTGAAATAGTTTAAATCCGTTTATTTGATATTCAGCTAATAGTTCTCTGTTTTCTACATTCATCCATGTTTCGGTAAGTGCAATAATATCTATTGTTTCTGTGCAGACAAGAGCATTTAAATCGTTTATTTTGTTTCTTAGACTCCTACTGTTCGTGTAATATACCCTAAGTGTATTGTTATTTTGAGGCCCTACTCTTTCCCTTATCATTTTGCCAAGCTGTTTTACCCACAAACACATACTTTTATTATTTTCTTTTTCCATATCAATTCCCATACCACTATCTACTAACAGTTTAAACCCTAACCCCATCAACCAAAGGTTCCAACGAGCTCGCAACAGCAACAACCCCAGCCCTAGATAAATGCACCACATCACGAGCATACATGTCATTTGTTCCATAGAAGTTATCAATGAATGATATTGCATTTGATTTACAATATTTGTTCAGCCGGCAATTGACACCAAGTGCCCTCGACAACCATTCATTTCCAACTCCCTTTCTTGGAAGAATGCAACATATGATCGGGATTCCTCCCTTGCTCCTAACTAATTCTATGGCTGTTTTAAACCTTTGTATCAGTGCCTCACTCCTAACTCGACCAACATCAGTTCCACCAGCACTGATACAAATAATATACAGTTTGTTCCCATTTCCAGCCATAATATCATGCATGCTGTTAACAATATCACCAATTCCAGCTCTCAGATAGCAAACCCTTAACCTGTTCCCCCTATCTCTGGCACAAAAAGTTCCTTCCAAATACCTCACCTGGGAATCTCCCACGACCAAAATTCTCGTAGGTACTTCCTTAACTTTCTGAGCACCTTGAGGGACCTGCGCTCCCTTCGTTGCCTTCCCTTTCAAGCACACTGCAGGCTCCCTACAGCACTCGTCTTCCAACAAGGCGAATGAGTTGGAAGTTTTGAGGACATCGGTAGGCTGCCTTGCCAGTCTTCTTAAGACAGATGACCTTTGCGACATTCCAAGGCGAGGATTTTTTAATACTGGTTTTCTCCTTTATTTCTTCTAGAAGTTGTTTCAGCTGTCGTAGCTCCTCCCGTAGGGAATCCAACTCTGTCCTCAGAGCACCACATAGATTCATCAGTTTTTTCACTACAACTTCCATTATTACTTTGATAGCACAATCGGAGTTCCAGGTAACACATCTTCTCACTGTGAATATCTGCACATCACTGATAATTGGGTGATGGATTGTTACGGATACATTAGATACAACCTGATGCAGTGTTTCACTCTGCGGGTGACCTCGTGGTACAAATATCTCTCTATATCTTGAAACCGTAATTATTCTTCAAGAATAACGCATCTTGGATTCTGACAGCAACCCACGGTAGAGGGAATCCAAACGGATTAACGAGGGGATGTTTAGCGTCGCGTTAACGGAGGTCTATACTATTGGCCAATCTTTCACGTCCAGCAGGGACATAGGGACACCTTAAGAATGCTTGCGAGGTGCGGGCCGGCCTAGCTGCTGGGGCCCAAACACTGT